GATGATCATTGGATAATGCAATTCAAGACTTTTTATTGGCTTAGCCATTATGATATATCGGCCAATATACCATAATCTATAAATATGGCAAGCGTACGTGTCAGCTTAAAATTAAAAGGGGGCTAAAAATTTAATAAAATTTAATAACTTAATTTAACGTTTTTAATAAAACAATTATTCCACTCGCTGTTGTTGGATATGAGATGATTATAGCCAACTTGGCGCTACGCGCCTCGGTGGCTATCTATCATCTCATATGCGCGCGCTAGTGGAATAATTGTTAAATGTTCAGTGGATCTGACAAATTGGGAAGTGTAAAAAATGCTCATAATATTATATCTGCTCACCCGAGAAACATAAGAATGGCCGAAGTTATTTTTTGGCCAACAGCACATGCAACATGGAAGTCATTGCTTTCATTAGATCGATAGTGTCTGATCTTTGGAGCATTGCTTCCTCTAGTGTTGTTGAGTGCTTCATTTGCCTGGCTCGACCCAAGGGGAGCTAGCTTCTTGGCATTTGACGCATGAACCTAAATTGAAAAAGCAAATGGGTTTCATTCACTAAAATTTGGTATCTCATAAAGCTTGTGAAACTGAGAAAGAGGTTGATAGTCCCCGAACACTTATAGCTTTATCCCTTGCAGTAATTAATTGGTATACAATCGAAAGCACTAACACTATTTTCTAAGAGCTGTGTTCCTCTACTACATGTAAAATGGTGGGAATTGGGAATTTGTGAGGAGCGAGCTGTGCCTCAATCAAACTTTATTAACAGTATCACTTCTTTAAAAATTAAAAATACTCTTCCAGTGGGCCGTTTACGTAACAAAAGTTTTGAAAGAAACTACATTAATGCTAAAATATTTCTATATGTTAAAAAAGATCTATCCTATAATTCATTACACAAGAATCATTGAACCTTAAAGGTATTTTAAATAACTAAAGTAAATTTGATCTCAACTCCCTCAAGGCAATCCATGGTTCGACAGGGCAGACTTGAAAGAGTTGAGATTTATTTCGTCTTCATGCACATTTTCTAGGCCATTCCGCATGACTGCTCCCCTATAGATAAAAGCCCGCTTAGCAGATTCAGTACGGGGCCTTGGTAAAAAAGTATTGTTCGAGGCACCTCGCACATTGTAAGAATGAGCCCCGGAGGTTGCTTTAAACATGTTCTTTAAACTCTCAGGGTAAAAGTTATTTATAGATTTAAAAACAGTAATGGCGAGCTGTTTGGAGCGTCTTTGCTGAAGCGTATCCCATCTCAAGTCTTGGAGGATATCCGCAGATCTTGTATTATTATCACTAAATGTTATAATTCTCCCAGCGCTATTTTGCAATCTCTGGAGTCTGTAACACAGGCCTTTTCCTATACATCCCCAGACTTCAGAGCAATAATCAAAGTAAGGAGCGACCAAAAAATCATAAATTTTCAGTGGGGTTTGGCTAGGCACTAGGGAACGAATACGTTTTAAGGCCCCTATACCTGCAGATACCTTTTACGGATGGCATCTACATGGGATTGCCACCCCAATGCCTCGTCAACCTCTATTTATTCCCAGATATCTATAATTAGTCACCCGAGTCAGTTGTTGACTATTAACAGTAACGTTTAAATGCCTTAGTCGGTAGTGGCTTCCACTTATCATATATTTTGTCTTTTTGACATTTAATGTGAGTTTATTGGATTTCAGCCACTTTTGAACCTCATCCAAGTCTGCTTAACTTTTTTTTCAAGAGTTTCGGGGTCCTAAGCGGAAAGGGTAAGCGAGGTGTCATCAACATACACTAGTGCAGATGATGACAGCTCGCATTCTTGTAGGTCATTTATATAAATGAGAGACAACAAGGGTCCAAGTACAGAACCTTGTGGTACCCCACAACTAACAGGAAGATAGTCTGATAGAGTTCCATTTACATAAGTACTCTGAAAACGATTTGATAGGTATGATTTGAGCCCCTGAACTGCATGCGGGTCAAGACCATAAAGCTGCAGCTTTTTTAACAATATGCTGTGGTCAACCGTATCAAGGGCTTTCTTAAGATCCAGAAAGAGTACATTGTTAATTAGGCCATCATCAATATTTTAAGTACTAGTCGTTCGTAGCTTCAAGCAAGGCAGTTAAAGTAGAACGCATCGGTCTGAAACCTCCGTACATGTACACTGCACTTACTTCTATGATCTTTTCCAGGGACTGCCTCAAGCTTTTGTCCATCAGATCCTTGCCGTGGGGAAGGCCTCTGTGTTTGTAGGATGCAGGATTTTTTAAGTAGCCACACCAGTTGCCACAGGAAGAATGGTCACCATAAGCATGGGGCACAATAGAATTCAGACCATTTCGTACGCCTTCTTCATCCTCGAGCTCCTTATTCTGCTTTAGTGCGTAACCAAAGCATCGCTGGAAATACTGTATAGCCATATCTGTCAGGCTTTTGTTTTGGATCTTGATGTTGTATAGTGAGCTACCAAAGGATCTTTTAGCATGGACTACGTCTGACCATTTTTCAACCTCATGCTCAACATTTTTCCTCACTTTGCCTATGGTGGACGAATCATCATCCCGAACAAGAACAGATACAGCTGCATTTTTTTCTCCACAAATGTTCAGCAGAGTAAAACCACAAAAATAAAATTTTGTGCCATAAAATGTGAGGGCATTCAAACTACACTTAGTCATTATCTTAAAGTATTTTCTTTTCTGCATTTTCAACACACTCATATCAAAAATAAAGGTCCCGATTTTATGTTTGCTTTCTTGTCATATTTTGAATCGTTATTACCAAGGGTGTAAGGTAATGTAAGACTTTCCACTGTTTGTGGTTCAAGCGTCATTACTGTAACACTGATATCATAAGAACTGATTCCACAAGTCTCTATTTGCAGCAATAGAACTGTGAATTTAACATGTTAACAACTATATATAATAATTATAATTATAATTATGATAGTTATGACAATAATTATAATTATAGTAATTATGATAATAATTATAATTATTATAATTATTTCACAAAATCAGTAAAATAATAATAATAATAAATTTTTCCTTAAAAATATTTCACTAAAAGCAGTTCTCTAAAAAATAAGAAAAATTCAGTAAACTAAGCTACATAATAAAAAATTGACTACTTAAATTCTGAATTTAAGTAGTCAATTTTTAATTATGTAGCTTAGTTTACTGAATTTTTGTTATAATTATCATTATCATTTTTATTTATTTTTTTATTTTTATAACTACGTACCTGGTTAGTAATTACCTTTTGACTAGATCAACACAAACATCAGCTTCCATAGTTTTTGACAAGCTTTCCCAGTTGAGCCTGCAGTCGTGTATGCGAGGCTTTTTTGACTGTCTGCTGGCAGTTTCACATGTTGCACACCTTTACAAAAGACATTATTAGTAAAAGTTCCTGGGTAATACTTTCAAGAGGAGACAAATATGGGTGCTGTCATATGTTGAATAATTCTGTACTTTATGGTCAAATTGAAAAAAATAACATTGCTCTTGTTGTTTACAACAAGGTGCTAGTAGACAAAATATATTTTTATACATTACCTTTTCACCTTGAACCATATCAAATCACCCTGCCAGTTTTTAGGCCAACCATGGAAGCCAACACCTACTTGTGAACGTAAGGATATATTTTATTTATTTATTATTTATTTATTTAACTTTGACTTTTGGCTGACACCAGAACTGTCAGTAAGCTAAAGAACAATCCAGAGAAAAAAACAGCAGCTTTCTATGAAAATGCATATCCAAATACACCCTTTTCAATTCTTTCAGATGTAGTATTTGCAGTGTACCTGTCAGGCTGTTGTGGGCTTTTCCCCTTTTTTTACCATCCCATGTCATACGACGCTCCTATCTCCACATTTTCCTTTTCACTATCATCTTTCCACAGGTTTCTTTCGCTTTCTAAACTTTTCTAATTTACAGCTTGATCGAGAGAGTGGCCTGAGTTTTCTCGACCAATCACAAGGCAAAGTTAAGCACGATCAGTTATTTTCGACGCTCAATTGAAAGTTGCTGCAATACGGGTGATTAATTTTAAGACCCATCTTGCCGTCGCTGGGAATGCAAATCATTCTCTGCCCGTCGATAACTGCCCTATTAAATCCAATGTAGACCCAGGAAAAGTGAGGGAGTTGCACAAGAAGAATTATTCTAAAACGTTTTGTTTTGCGCCAGTTTTCATGAGAAAGATTCACACCGTCGGTGTGAAATCAAGAGCACTCCATTTTCTCTTACTTTTTGGGTTTGGAATCAAGTAGTGTCTTCTATGCTCTCCTAAACTAGCCAAGAACACCAAACACCATAGAATATTAGTAGTTCAACGAGCGTTTATTTAACCTGAAATGTTTAATTTGGAGTTGGAGGGGGCGTAAAGGGGCAAAATAACGCTATAATATTCATTCTCCTACTCCAGCTCCTTATTTTTTACCGTTACTCACCCACTTGGGACAAATTTCTTTCTCTTTCCGGCCTTCCACTTCCAGTAAAATCAAAGATGGCGTCCATTTCTCGCTCTTAAAATACTCAGCACTCTCTCGCCCAAATTACGCCTGCCCTGCATGTTGAATACAGACTGTACTGAGACACTAGCGCAAAATAAAGTACTAAAGGAGTTTTTTCCCCGCGGGCGCTGATTAACTCTACATCCTGTAAGCCAAACGAGAGAAGCTTGAGTTGAGCAAAGGTTATCTGCGAATGTGTGGGGCGAATTGGCGCAAAAAAAAAATGGTAATAATAATAATGATAATAATAATGATAATAATAATGATAATGATAATAATAATAATAATAGTAATGATAATAGTAATAATAATAATAATAATAATAATAATATAATATAAATAAGAGCACGAGGAGTGTGAGGAAGCGATTGCCTTCCATTTCCTAGTCTTTTCTCTGCCATTTTCATTTTTCGTTTTTTAAACAACAAGAGACGGTCCTTGCCTAGAAAACAGTGATCAAATTAGCAAGAGAAACACGTGGCTGACCTACAACCAGGTAAAATCTGCCATCAAGGTACTACACTTTGCAGAAGAACTGAATCTCAAGCTTTTCTTCTTCGGCGCAACAGACATGGCCGCCAATTTTGAATATCCAATCGGTTTAAGGACTTTCTTGAAATGTTAAATAATTTGGATTTGACCTTGAATTCTTAAAGAGGAATGATTATGCCCCCTCCAACTCGCTGTCTCATCATCATTGCAATAGGGTAGCATTCCATTTGATTTGTCTGTAATATTATAAATACTGTTTCTCACCCAGGTTCATGAGAGGGCGACGTTCGTTGGTGCAGGCCTGGTCGCTTTGGGTTGCGAAGCCTCACAACAGACCTACATTGGTATCTATGGACCAAACAGAGTAGAGGTGAGATGAATAAAAAAATAGCCTTGTATGAAATGTGAAACGTGAATCGTGAAATATATGTGACTTGTGAACTGCAATTTCTTGTTCCATGGGGACTATCTCCTAATAGCAAACTTTGAATTAAGGTTACTTCCTACCTTCAGAGGCCGAAAAAATATTTTCTTTTGTTTGGACTAGATTGAAGTTAATAATTTTAACTAACAGCAGTGTAAGGCTTCATTTGATTTATTTGTATATATTTCAACAATGCTGCTGAAGGACAACATGAACAGATATTTTAACTAAAGTTTACTGGAAAAAAAATTAAAAATCTCAAAAAGCGTCCCACTTATTAAGAAAAACGTATTTTCAAATAAAAGTTAATAAATCAGCCAATTTTCTCGTGCCGCGGGATCCGATACCCGATAAATTCAATAGAAGGACCCTAGGTCGTTTCACGCCTGACCGGCTCCTGACATTTTCTAAATGAAAAAATCGCCTAAATTATATTTTCATCGTAAACTGCATTTATTACGCTTTGTTTTGATGTATAGTTTGTTAGGGTTTTCTTCAAACTAGCGCGTGTGCGAATTTTTTTCCCGAAGGACACCTGCGAAGGTAGGAAGTAACCTTAAATATTGCAATAGCGCTTTATACTAATGACGTCACGAAATTTTAGACCCCCCGCGTGACTCAGACAAACAAACTCCACTTCTTTGAGAGCTACAAGGGAAATGGCGAGTAGTTCGCTTATTCCC